GTATATTGTGAATAGAGACACGACAAAAGCCTAATAAAATTACTTCCATACTGCGCATGCTTTATAACACGTTCCGTATTCGAGTTCGAATTCGTATTCAAAACATTAAACAAATACATACAAATACAAAATCACATTATTTGATTCAATTCGATTGGTTTACAACTCTATGTGGTACTATGTACGAATTAGACGTCACATTGTGATTCTGGTGAGAGTTCGAAGTCTAGCTACCATTCTAATCGTTTATCGTAACTTCCTCCCTCTACTACGTACACTTGATAGTTGATAGTTTGATACCATTTGTAGGTATTGAAAATTAATTAATATTTTGGACTTATTAATTTATAATAGTCCATAATATCATTAAGTCCTTTAAAACGCTGCCTGACTACTCAATCATTTTGGGTCTCTTTTGAGTGTTATTGGGCCACCGTCGGATTTTGCTAGATTGCTCGTAATAGTTGTTGGGCCTTACCAAATGGAATATACTAATATGGACCCATTCAGATATAATTTAATTAATTCAGATCATTTGAATATTCAATTAATTTAAATCGTTGAAAGTAATGTCCTATTAATTTCTTTATCCGGAGCCCATTATTAAATAGTGGTCCAATGAATAAGAGACACGATCCAACTTGTGAAGGGGACAACGAATCTAGTTAAGAAATCTATCCAAATGCATGGGAAATGACTACAAATCTTGTTAAAAGGCTCTCCAAATACATTGCATAAGTGCTGATTTTTCTAGCTATTAAAATGCAAACAAATAAAGCCCAACCCTCATTTTAATTGAAGCCCAAGGGATATGGACGAATTTATAAACCCTAAAGCATTTTTTCACCCCCTCCACACCTATAAATAGGGGTTTCAGTTGAGGGAATGAGGGAGAGAACTTCCAGTCGAAGAAACGCTGGAAGAAAATCTTTGAAGAACTCCTGAGAGACTCTGAACGATTCTGAAGAAGAGGAAGAGATCAAACCACAAATTTTATTAAAAATATATGAATAATCCTTAATGATTTCGTCGATTCTTGATAAAATAGGTCCCAAAGTTGAAGAACGTTTGAAGATCTGAAGAACGAAGGTTGAAGATTCGAAGATCTGAAGAACAAGGCAATGAAGATTCAAAGATATGAAGAACAAATCTATGAAGATTTGAAGATATTCATATGAAGATTGAATCAAGATTCAATTGAAGATCAAGCCATATATTCCAGGAAGCCCTTTAGCAGAAGATTAAGACACAAAATGACTCTTTTGTTGAACATCAAGCTACTTGAAAACTCGAGGCCCATCCTGTTGAATTTTGCATTTAAGAAGATTTGAAGATAAGAAGAACGTTCGAATATTTGAAGGATTCAAGATTTAATTTTGAATTGAATTCTTTAATTATATTTATTTCAAATTGCAAGTGAATAATCAGAGGATTCATATTTAGTGATTGTACCTGATATTCTCACATATTATTATTTGCGATTAATTTTAATTAAATACTTAAAATTTGTTTCACACCATTATTCATCAATCCATTATGTAATTATTTTTGCAGTTGTGATATAAATATAACTACACTTAATTTAATTAAATAATAATATTAAACAAATTTAAACATCATAATTAGACCAGACCATAACAGCCGGACTAGACAGATCCGATTAGATAGACTCAATTAAAACAAATTTCTATAAGACCAAACATGACATGACACAGAGATGTACAATACAATTAAAACATTCTAATGATGGTGCATACATGAGAAGTGCTACTATTACTATGAGGAAGTTTCTAATGAGAACACATTTATTAATCTCCACCTTTGATATATCAAATTAGGGGTTAATTTATCCCATTTGAATAATTATCAAAATGTTCCATTTGAAATAATAATAATTGAAAATTCTCTTTATAAGAATAGTCATTTAAGAATGGTTTTCACTCGAACCCTCACATGGCAAGTTATAGTGAGAATCTATCCTAAAAGGAAAACTCCTTATAATTTTTCTAAATTGAAAGTACAAGAATTCAATTATCTTCTTATAAAAGGATACGGAGACCTATTTGATAATTTTCCTCTTTTAAAAAAATAGATGTATAGATGGCTATTTAAAATAAATAATGAAATGAGCTTGTATTTAAGGGGATGTCCCGAATATGAATTCTGTAGGGTTTTAATTTAGTTTAGAATTTCATTAGAATTTTAATGTCCCCGTCAGATTTCGGTTGAGACAATGAAAATAATAATGTTCTCAAACATTTCATGTATTTATATTATCATTTATTTAGATGAACTTTAATTGATTTTGATGAATTTTTACATACAAAACATTAGGGGTGGGTGCGATCCGGAACGGTCCGGTAAATTAGTAAAACCCGTAATGTATCCGTGAGGTTTTTAACGGTCCGGTACGGTCCGGTTCAAAGGATGGAACCATTCGGTACCATGTCGTTTCGAACGGTACAAAACGGTACGGTACAATGTCAAACACATGATAAAAAATTTGGACAAATTTTGCAATTAGTAGATATCATCACACCAACCAACTCACTTAAAATGTTGATATAAATACAAAAAATTGCATGCGTAGTACTCAAATTTATAAATACGCAAATAGTGCAACACAACTAAGAAAAGTATAGCAAAATGATGACACACGAGATAAATAGCATATTTAATTTACTAAGTTCATGTGAACATATAAAAAGAATATCATTAAATTGTTGAATATAATAGAAAACTTCAACGTTCTTCTTCTTTGTTCTAGGTTAAATATTATTCCATATATAATTCTAATTTAATTTATAAATGAACTTTGAGAGCTAAGATTTAAACCATATTAATTAAGTTGTAAAATTCCACAAACATGATATAACAAAAAGTCATATACACTACATTACTAGAAATGAATAGTCATTAATGTTTTTTAAAACTTTAACATTCTTTCAATACATTCCAAAATATAACATAAATTATATAAAAAGAAAAAATAACAATATATATATATATATAGAATAAGGATCAAATGAGAAGAGTGCTTATCGTAAGAAGTGATAATGCATCTGATGCGTTCATTTTAAGATCTGTGCATCAGATTAGCAAAAAAGTTCACGGGAAAGTGCAAAAAATATTTAAAAAGTGATGCTAGACGCGGTGGCATTTTCGTAATTAATCGGAACTTTTCTGCCACCCGCAAAAGTGCATCAGAATAGCAAAAAGGTGCATCAGAAATAGGTAAATGTGTAACTTCTCACTTCTCACGTTAAGATGTCTTCTCATTAGAACCCGACCCCCCCCCCCCCCCCCCCCCCCACACACACACACACACACACACACATATATATATATATATATATATATATATATATATATATATATATATATATATATATATATAGGGAGCGGTTCCGGTAAGAACGGACTTCCAGGAGAGAAATAAGAACGAATCTGCACCATTGGATTGTATTATGCAGAACGGAAATGTGCATTTGATTAAAAATTGAAATGTGTATTACATAATACTAAAATGTGCAGAATAAAAATTTAAACTCAATTGTGCATTAGGTGAAACTGAAATGTGCGCAATAAAATGTACAAATATAACATCACATCTTACCTTTTATTCTGCACATTTCAGTTTCACCTAGTGCACATTTCAATTTCACCTAATGCACAATTCAACTTCACTTAATGACATTGTATCATACGCGTTGTGTTGCACATTTCAATTTCACCTAATGCACATTACAGTTTCATCTAATGCACATTGAATTTCATTTAAAGCAAATCTAACGGTCCAGATTCGTTCTCATTTCTCTCCTAAGATCATGTTCTTATTTGAACCAAAACATATATATATATATATATATATATACATATACATATATATATACATATACATATATATACATATACATACATATATACATTTATATATATATATGTATATATACATATATGTATATATATACATATATGTATGTATATATATACATATATGTATGTATATATATACATATATGTATGTATATATATACATATATGTATATATATATATACATATATGTATATATATAGAATAAGGATCAAATGAGAAGAGTGTTTATCGTAAGAAGTGAGAATGCATCTGGTGTGTTCAATTTAAGATCTGTGCATCAGATTAACAAAAAAGTGCATGGGAAAGTGCAAAAATATTAAAAAAGTGATGCTAGATGCGGTGGCATTTCCGTAATTAATCATATTTTTTTGTCATCGCAAAAAGTGCATCAGATTAGCGAAAAAGTGCATCAGAAAGAGGCAAATGTGAAGTTTCTCACTTCTCACGTTAAGATGTCTTCTTATTAGAACCTGACCATATATATATATATATATATATATATATATATATATATATATATATATATATATATATATATATATATATATATATATATATATATATATATATATATATATATAAACGCATTTAGCTATTTTAAGGACACATGAACACATACTTGGGCTATAAAAAATGTTGGTCTAGAAAAGAGATTTATTGATATGGAAAAAATATAAAAATTTAACATGCATTAATTTTTAGCGCTCCGGTACGGTATTTTTCGGTTCTCAAAACCTAAGACCGGTCCCATACCCGTTTAAAACGGTACGGTTTCGGTATGGGATGAAAATCTATAGAACCGTTTAAAAACCGATATTCGATTCGGTACCTTTACGGAACGCTTCCGTACAGGTTTTACGTGTAGACGGTAAGAATGATGTAGGAAGTAGAAAACCCGGTCCGAAAAAAAAAAATTGAGAGTACATTGCATTCAATTTCATAGCCAGAAACTGCATTCGAAGAAGGTGCCCACTCGTATGAAATGAACCATTTTTCCCGAAGGATCTCTGTCTCGTACCTTACCAGCCGGCCCTTCTTCTCCTCTCATTCATTCATCGGTGGAAAATGGGGCAATTCATTTATGAGACTATTAATAGCTTCGGTAAAATTAGTTAGTTGTTTGTTTGGAACTTCATATACGAGTAGTAAATAAATAAATGGAGAAGGAAAGAAGTCTCCGCCACGTACGAAGCTGATCGAGAATCGAAATGGGGGTTGAAGGTTTCGGGGAGGAGGCGGCGGCGGCGGTTAAGAAGGTGCGGAGCATTAATGTGAGACTGACAGACTCTGTTTTAAGGATTGTGGCGTTTGCTCTAACGGCGGCGGCGGCCATAGTTGTGGGCTTGGACGTGCAGACCACGGCTGTCAGTGTGGAAATTGTTCCCACCCTCCCGCCGGTTAACATTCCGCTCACTGCTAGGTGGCAACACCTCTCTGCCTCTGTGTAAGTCACTTGCATTACTTCATCATCTGTCGCCTACATTTTGTTCCATATCATCTTCTTTCCTTATCTCGCAGAATAAAACCTTGATCACTTTAATTTGAACATGAAACCATGATCACATACTAAAAGCTTAATTGTCGAGTATTAAACTCAAGATGTTGTGGAATTTCAAAATAAGAACAATATGTTTTTTATTTGATAAATAACAGTAATTATTGTTACATTTGAAAAATATTACCGAATATCGTAGTCTATTGTCATATCGAAAGTTTGTCAATGTCGAAATATAACATTAAGAGCCCGTTTCGTAATACTAAAATCGACTATATCGTCTGGTTCTACTGAAACATACGTAGTATGAAGTTCTAACTGAATTGACTTTTTTAGAATGAAATAGCTTTTATTAGAATCAACCAAAATGTAGCAACACCATACCCCAGAATCTCGACCTCCCACTATCTAACCAATTCCAAAAGCCCGTCGTCCCTCTCACGTCATGATCAAACATATAATAGTCTACCCCGGAAAGAGCGAAACTAATCGCTCAAACAGTGAGAGTATAGAGACTATTAGCGGCTGAATCAGCCTGCTAAAATAAGCCAAAACACTAACCTATCCCCCTCATTATTTGTCACAAAACTAACAAAATAGAAACAGTAAAACAGTGTGAATCGAAAATCACAAACCCGAAATAGTAAAATAGTCTTCAAAACCCTAGACGCACAGTTCCTCGATGGCGGCGGTTCGGGACGGGGACATATCATCATCTATTCGTCTTCTTTCTCCATCACCTGAATCTAGAGTTCTCCATGCCACATCAAGCAAGCCCCGAGTTTTCCCGATTTCGGATCTTCCACCATCCTCATGAATTCCATGTCATTGTTGCTCGCCATGAATTCCATCTTCATCCGATGCCACTGCTGTGCTCCTCTCTACACTCACCGATACCTGCTTCGTACCCCTAGCGATCCAAATAGCCGCCGCTGGAAACCTTACGCAAACTGCCGAAATCTCACGCAAACCTAGAGGGCTCTAGGTGCAGCCGTCCACATATTCAGACCTTAATCTAAAAATTTGTAGTGACTAAATTGACTTATTCAGCTGATTTATGTAAAAATATATATATAAAAAACATTTTATTAATATCGTAAAGAAAAAATAATATGAAAAATAGCTAAAATAGTCATCTATTGCAACTTTAACCAATACAACCAGAAAAGTAATTTCAAAATAGCAAAAATAGTCATCTACAACAACTTCAGGCAACAAAGCCAGAAAAGTAACTTCAACTTTACTTTTTCTTATTATTACATAATCCATTGCGCAAAATCAAAAGTTACGTATTTGATGAAAGAGTTATCCGATAAATCTGATAAGCCAAAAAATATGGTCACTAAACGGGCTCTAAGTTTCGTTAAACCTTCTAGACAACAAGTTATGAAAGAAAACTTGTTACTCGTATTTTGGAATTTCACCATATTTTCACGGGATAATTTGAACTTGCATCCCATTTTATTGTTCAAATTGAAATTTGCACCCCATTTTTAAAAACTTTTGTTTTTGGGTGCAAAAACAAAGTTTTATAAAAACAGGGTGCAAAGTCCAATTTGCACAATAAATAGGGTGCAAAGTCAAATTACCCATATTTTCACTCATATTTCGGGAATTCTCCATATATATTACTAGTATTGTTTTATTTTGCCGAAAGTAGTTGTCTATATGTAATCACTTCTTTAGAGATAAACTTAAATTTAGCTATATATATTTTAGGAAAAACCCCTATTTTTAAACTACTCCCCCGTCCCATAAAATTCTTCTCACTTTCCTATTTGGGCTGTCCCAAAAAATTCTTCCCACTTACCATTTTTGGACAATTTGTGTGGTTCACATTTATTTCACTTTTTTCTTACACAACTACAACCACACATTTTCACTTTATTCCACTTTGTTTCTTACACAACTAGAACAAATCTTAATGCATTAACTATTCATATATTTAACAAACATGAAACATAATCATTTTCCACTAAAGATTTAGTCATTTTACTCATTAAAAACTTCATCAAAATATCAAATAACTGACCCCATTTTGAATATACTTGATTTAATTATTAGCTACAATTTTAGTTTAAATGACTGAATTTTTAGTCTTAAAGTGGGAATATATTATTTTTTATACATATTCAAATAGATTGTATTTTTAGAAACTATTTTCAGATTACATATTACTCCGTATTAATTGTTTACTAGTTTTAATTGGTATCACTTATAGTTTTTCTTATAGTTTTAATTGTTCACTAAATTTCACTAAAATTCCCTTAAAATTAACTAATTCCCTAAAATTCCCTTAAAATTAACTAATTCCCTTAAAATTAACTAGTTTCCTTAAATTTCACTAAAATTCACTTAATATTAACTAATTCCCTAAAATTCCCTTAAAATTAACTAGTTTCCTTAAATTTCATTAAAAATAACTAAAATTCACTTAAAATTAACTAATTCCCTAAAGTTCCCTTAAAATTAACTAATTCCCTTAAAATTAACTAATTGCCTAAAATTTCACTAAATTTCACTAAAATTCCATTAAAATTAACTAACGTCCAATAATTAATATTATTAAACTATAAACATGCACAATACGTTAATGACATTAATTTAATCCACAATACTAAAATTATCAACATCTTAATCTTATTAATAATGCACATTTACCAATTTACTAAATTAAATAATATGAGCAAATCCAATAATTTGAGCATATATATATAATAAACACATTTAAATTAAATTAACTAACCCTAATTTAAATCATTATTAATCCTAAATTAGGCCGCCTTAATTAACAATAATTGCCAATATAAAGAAATCATATACTTATATTTAATCATATATATATATATATATATATATATATATATATATATATAAAGTCATTTGAATTAAATAATACTTACATTTAACTAATATTAATAATATGCATTTAAATTATATTTAATCATATATACTTACATACGTATTTAACTAATTTATGTAATTTTAACCCTATATTTTAAAATTAATAACATGTGTATTGCCAATATTATATTTAATAATATACTTAATTACATATGTATTTATTAACAAATTTACATATTTAACTAATAGGATGGGTTGGCCCGTGGCCCTTATGGGATTCTAAATCTTTTATTGATAACCCGCTAGCATAATCAGCTTTCCGCTAATCACTAATCGTAAAACGCCAAACACGCCCTATTTTTGGATACCTTTGTTTAAATTTCGTGTCATTTGAAAGATTAAACTCATTTAAAATCACCAAACTTTCAATCTAAAAGTATGGGTAAAATATTAACAAGTACATCTTTGCACATATGATGTAAGTTCATTTCTTTTTTTAATTAAATATTTAGCCTATACATTTTCAACTCCAATTAATTCTTATTACATACTTGATTTGTCTCTAATTTAATTCACTTTTTATTTCTATAAGTTTTTTTAAGAATATTTGTACTCCGTATAAGTTTGAATAATCCAAAGTTGTGCCACTAATATTTCATATTAAAAGTGAAATAATTGTTGAACAAAACATGATTATAATTGTTGAACAAAATGAAATATAAAGTCTTTAAAGAACTGTGAGTTGAATTTTGACGTCTAGCACTAAGCGGATGGTTTTATCTTCTTTTGTTTTTGAAGGTACTTTGTGGTGGTCAACGCAATAGCTTGTGCATATGCGGTTGTTTCATTGGTCCTCACACTGGGAAACCGGAAAAAGAACAATGGCGCCGCCGCCACGTCTTTAATGATCATCGTCCTCGATGTTGCCATGGTGGCGCTTTTGTTTTCCAGCTGCGGCGCCGCCGGAGCTATGGGGCTGATGAGCTACTACGGGAATGCGCACGTGGGGTGGAAGAAAGTGTGTAACGTCTTCGGGAGATTCTGCATCCAAGCGGCGGCGGCATTCGCAATTTCATTGGCCGCCTCCATCTTGTTCTTATTCCTCGTCTTCTTTGCTGCATTAAGCCTTCACAAGAGAGTTCCTCGCTGATAATTATGCTCCATCTTCATTTGTAGTGTGATGGAGTAGTGCTGCTGATCGACTCTAATCCTACGTGTAATAGGCTAATTAAGTCGTTAAAGGATGATCCAACATGCATGTGATCGATGTGCATTCATATCACCAAATAATTCAGTAATTTGCTCATATTTCTTAATCTTGGTGCATATTTGCTTTACATAAGTCTAGATGGTTTATAATGTTTGAAAATTATCATAAAAACTAAAGCTCTTAGGTTTATTTGAGTTTTTTCCGAATTAATGCGAATTAAATAATTATTTATGGAAATAATGTTGCATTAAAAGTTATTACAGATCTACTGCTGACGTTAACCTTGGCCGGGGAATGTCGTCAAACCGTTTGGTGACTTATAAGTCGCCATCCCGGTTGGCGACTTATAAGTCACCAAACCATTTGGAGACTTTCCACAACCATTGTTAAACCTAGTAGTAGATCGGTAATAAGTTTTAATCCAACATTATTTTCATAAATAATTATTTAATTCGCATTAATTCGGAAAAAAAATCGACATTATATTTTACTCTTGAATTTGTATTTCAGGCCTTCCATTTCCCACATTAAATTTTATTTACTATTTTTAATTTTATTTATATTTTATATTTTTTATGTATTTTTTAATATGGTATATTATACGTAGTATTAAATATTTAGGTTTAAAAACTACTCAAAGTACGATGACAATAGAGAAAATTCTAAAATATACTTTCTTTCTAAATAGCACTTCTTTAATCCTAACAAGGAGTGCATGAGTGTTATTTTCGGATGAAAATAACGACATTCTTATTTGAGAACATTTGCTGAGTTTTATTCGTATTTAGGAATTTTGTCTTTAGAGTTTTAGTTTTGTCTATAGATTTATATTTTATATTTCAATACATTTTTAAAATCTGTTCCTATTTATGTTATTTTGTATTAGATAGATAAAAAATCATATTTATACTTTTTTTTGGATGAAAGGTAATTGTATTATTCGCTCCCAAAAATAACAAATACATGTCTCAAAACTAAAGAGCTAATCTAATTAAATAGTATCACTACCATTCAATCCCCCCCCCCCCCCCCCTAAGAAGGGGAGTGGGGGAGAGATTTTTTGTTAAGAAGTCAAAAACGACACGGGACAGGCCCCAGATCGTATCAAAAACATCAAAGAAATCTGCCCGCCGTCCACTAAGCCCAAAGGATCCGAAGCAATGAAGCCCCTTCCTCCAAATAGCTTTGCTCCAGCGGCCCAGTAATTGCCCAGCAGTGTCAAAGCCTAGAAGTAGGCAGTCCAAGCAAAAAAAGTCCAATTTGGGTTCAGGGTCTCGGCCAATAAAGGTCCATTCCCCAAGCCCAAAGGTCCAGCCAAATTCCAAGCAGAAGAAGAGTTCCGCACTTTCGCACCAGATGCCAGCTGCAACAAAAGAAGCAGCCCAAAGTAGCGGCCCATCATCATCCCACTGTGGGAAACCCTAATCGCTACAGGAAGTGCCACTTTTGCGCCGCAACTCAGCTAGCGCAATTCAAAATTCAAACCATTGCAACAGTACACTGACGCGGTCAGGTTGGCATGTGGTCCAATCAACGACACGCTGCCGTTGAATATTCCTCTCGTCGTCCCCGGAAAAGTTCCGGTCAATGAAACAGTCGCTAGAAAAAAATTTCCCACCTCAACAACGTTTGCACGCAGTCCGTAGTCGTCCACCATAGCCCCCCACCACCAACCACCCCACCTGGTCCCCGACAACCACCAAGTGCAACGGTGGTTGTTGGTAAGAGCAAGTAACACAGCCGGAAAAGGTAATAAAGCCAAAACGTTGCTCCGTCCTCCACCTCCTACTCCGTTGGACCCCGGCAACCCTCAACGACGATGGTAGACAGCCTCGGAAGGCGTTTTGCCAGTAGCCGGAAATGATAGCATCAGGCGGTATCAACCCCCATGGATGGTGATTTCCTCCGACGCAACCTGAAACTTTCAAAAGAGAAAGCCACCCAATAACTCCAAAACCAGAGCTTCAAAACACAGAGATCCTGTAGCGCACCAGCCCCTCCAGTCATCGTCTCCGGCTAACCCCACAACCAAACTTCCAATTCGAAAAAACAAACATCCTTAACGATCCTCAGAGCAGTTCTAACAGCTTAACCCAACCATCTTCCACTCAAACCTTCAACTAGGACTCGTTCATCTTCGTCCCAGCCCCCCAAAACCGGCGCCCGAATTTACTAGCAGCCCTTCAAGTCGGAATGAGCAGACTCCGACGAGGTTCCACCGGACAAAAAACAGCTCATAACAAACTCCTCGACCTTCCCACAATACCTAGGTAGCTAGCCCATCATCCCAGTTCGCCGGAAACTCCAGCTCCTCGCCTTCCGTCCCTCCTTCCACCAACATAGTCTGTTAACCAACCCTCCGTTCATCACCGCCCCCGGCGTTTCCCCATGACTACTAACGAGAGTGTATAACTCGCACAGGCAGTTTCCAGTGAGACATCCAACAAGAAGAAGGAAAAACACCGAGATCAAAGGGGAAGAACAAGCTAACCTTCAAAAACGTGACCATCAGCTCCAACTCTATCCATATAGCCCAGCCATCTTCCACTCGACTTTTCACTACGGGCTCGTTCATCTTCGTCCCAGCCCCCCAACCGGCGACCAAAGCTACTAGCAGACTTTCATGTTGGGTTTTGCAGAATCCGGCGAGCTACCACCGGATAGACCATAGCTACAACAGTCCACGAACCATCACCCAAAAATGGGGTTCCAAAAAGCCCAAACCAGACCCACTGATTCACACTAATTAGTAGTGCATAATTATATGTTTTTATGTTTGATTGATGGTGATTGTTTGAAGTTTTATTTAGTTTGTAAACATTTGTGTGATTTTAGTTGTAATTGTATTTTAGTTCTCATTTGTAAATTGTAAAGTAGAATTAGGAATTAGGGTGTTGAAAAGGAGGACTTTGAAGTGAAGAAAAAGGAATTTTGACTATCCAGGAGCAAATACCCGACCGGGTAGAAAACTTCACCCGGTCGGGTCTGATTTGAAAACCGAACTGCTGAGGAAAGAGCTGGACCTGGTCGGACCCTATACCTCACCCGGTCGGGTGAGAAGTGACCGGGGACAACCCGGCGTGCGAAGATCACCAGAACGTGGTGGATTATCTGATTTTGACCGGACCCGGTCGGGTAAGTACTTGACCCGGTCCGGTACCCCGGCCAAAGGTGTTGAAAAACACCTATAAATAACATTCTTTTTCTTCTCTAAAAACCATCCCTTCTTCTATACTCCTATGCTCAGTTTAGAATAACATTTCTTATATTTTTATAGCATGTTTAGTCTCCAAATTAGGAGCTAAACTTCCATTTCTTGGTTTTGCTCTTGAAGCTTGTTGCTTATTAAAGTTGTGAGTTATTTTCCTAACTTCTTCTCTTGATTATTAATTCTTCCCTTAATCTCATTCTATATTAATGTTGGAGGGTTGCTAAGTGACGATTAGTTAACGTTCCGACATTAATTCCTACTAGAAACAATCAACAAACCGATGGTTAATCGTTGGTGGTTTCACAAGTAAGTAACTTCGGTTTATTAATGCACGGTCGTGGTTAATAGACTTAAGAGGGATCAATTTTGTTGGTTAAACCGAAACCGTTGTGTTGAGGCTATCAATCTCAATTGATTTCATCAAGGAGTTAAAAAGATTGAATGCTACTATTATATCAGTATACGGCGTTGTTCTATATTTGATTAATTGTAAGGGTTATTAATGAACGGTCGTTGTTAATAACTACCCTCGATGAATTGGAGATACTCCTTGATTGAGTATTCGAGAGGGGATAAGTTATAGATATAACAGGGATCGACTAAAATATATCAACAAGTGGAAAGTAGCAAAGCCAAGTCCTTTTATCCTTGAATTAAATCTCATATAAGTCGTTCATCTTAGTTTTTAATTTAATTAAATCATTCATCACTAAAAACCCCCTTTATTTACTAAGTTTCATAAAAAGAGAATTGTTCCTTTCCATGTGGACACGAACTCTACTTCACCTATACTACGTATAAGTGTTAGTATTGAATTATTTTGACGCATCGTGACAAAGTGCTCGTCAAATTTGGCGCCGTTGCCGGGGAAAGGCAATTAATTTTTCTTTTTATTCTATTTCAAGAAAAAAAAAAAAAAAAGTTTGCACCCGGCCGGGTATCTAACCCAACCCGGTCGGATTTCATAACAAAAACACACACCCGGCACACACCTGGGCGAGCGAGGGCAATTTTTCAATTAAAATAACTTTCACCCGACCGGGTATGTTATTTCACCCGGCCGGGCCCTACGCCTAAAAACCTTTCTGGATAAGCAACAGTTAGGCCCGACCGGGTATGTTATTTCACCCGGCCGGGCCCTACGCCAAAAAAGGTTTCTGGATAAGCCAAAGTTAGGCCCGACCGGGAAGTAATACCTCACCCGGCCGGGCGAACGGGAAAATGCCTATACCAGGCCGGGTTTCCTCTCTCCCCTTCCCATTCTTCTTCTTCTCCAACGCACCAAAACAAAAAAAATCCACCATTTTCATTCACCAAAACTTCAAATCTTCCCCATTCTCCCACCAAATCCATCAAATAAACCCATTTTCTTCATCTCCTCACTTCCCTCTTCATTTCTATACCCATAAATTCCTCCAAATCCTCTCCAATCAACCAACCCAAAAAAAAACATACCCAAAAATCCGAAAATCTCCATTTTGGACATTCAAGGTCCGAAATCCCCCCAAATTTCTCATCCAATCCAATATTCTTGCTCTCCTCACCATCCTCTTCAACAAAATACCCAAAACCCACCAAAAATCCAAAGTTCCAAACCCAACCATACCCAAGTCCGAAAAATCCCTCAAGAAAAAACCAAAAAAATCAACTTCTATGGCTCCTAAAAAGTCCAAGGCATCTTCTTCAAGGGGTAATCAAGCTATTGAACCTGTTCCCGATTTTGAGAGTGTGCAGTTTGTCACCGAGGGCCACAAAACACACTTCATAGGACAAACAAAACGGAAGGTAAGACAATCACGTTTCATATGCATTGCTACATTAGTCTCACTTATGCTTGATGTGATTATGCGTGAGATTTTCACGAGCATTGGCATGCTTAGCATTTTTGAAATGCAATATGTCACCTACCCACATTTGGTATA